TTTTTCATTAATGCACTTTTCTTTACGAAATGAATTTCATTGGCTCTAATGTGTTTTAATTGTCTTAGAATTGTGTTAAAAGTTGTTAGATTTACTTTTTCGTGCAAACCCAAAACATCAATCTTCATAGAATAGAGAGAGTATATGAGATAAGTCTTACTTCAGCGTTAGTCCTTTCTTTTGGAGAAGCTTTTGAGGAAGTTGGCCACTAAGATTGTTTCCACTTAAGTTTCTGTTTAAGGTAGAAAAATGATATGTATATAACAAAATTATGGAATTTCAGAGAGTGCTAAAGGACATTTTTATGTTTCTTTTTTTTTCGTCAGCAACATTTTTATGTTTCATAGTCTTATGAAAGACTTACATGATCAAGAGGGATTTCATGTCACCTAGAAACTCAGGTACAACACCGGTCAAGTCGTTATTTGACAAGTCCCTAGCATTTGATTAAAACATAAAAATGCCATCAAAATAATAGACAAAACAAAGCATAAATGTTTGATTTTATTTATGTATGTGTGTTACTTACAATTCTTGTAAATTGGTTAGATTCTGAATGGCAGGAACGATGATATTGGTTAATCCACTTGAAGACAAATTTCTGGTGATAAAGTCATAATACGTTTCAATGTAACACATAATCAGAATAGAGAAATGCTTGACCATGAAACAGTATACTGTAAAATCTTACAAGGAAGTGATTGTTGGTGGAATGGAATTATCCGTGTCATCGCAGTTTAGACCAACCCACAAAAACTGTTTGGGGACACATGGATCTCCTTGCCAACTAATTCTACTCAATCCATAAGAAATTTGGATCTTCTTGACAGCAATCACTAGAGGCATCATTACATAGTTAATGATATCAAGAATTAAACACATGTAAGAATGTGATTCATATGTATCAAAAATGTAAATTTAGGCACCTTCATCTTGGTTTGTTTCTAACTGAGGAAAATCAACCACAGTAAAACTTTCAATGGCATTGATGAGTGGAGGAAGAGTTGATTTTGTTGTTTTCACTAGCTGCAAGAGGCAACTCCCCTCTTTGCATCTCAATGTCGAATCGGGTTGGGTGATCATAGTTACAATACTTAACTTTTTAGGACTAAAAGGTCCAGAAAAATCTTTCCCATTCAGAAGAACATTGAATTCCCTTGTCTCATTGGCTAACAAAGTTTGAATCTCTGCAAAGTGAAGATAAATGTGAAACCTTGTCGTAGAATCGTTGAAACTCCATGGAATATCCCATGTCCCATTATCATTTACATAGGTTGCAGCCGATGCCATTGCACCTTGTGGTGGATCATAACCATTAGAAGTGTTTACATTGAGAGTGGTAGTTACTAGAGTCAACTCTTTATCTTTATCTAACAAAGGGAACCACCTACGGTCATAGACATCATCAGGGTACCTGCCAAAACATTGTTCTATCATATCTCTATCTATCTCCCTTAGTACAATGGTGTTCGATAAAAAATGTTACTATGATCAAATATAAAGATTACATTTCACCAATCAAAATTTTCCTTACCGTAAAATGCGACTTGAACCATTAAAATAACTTCTTGAGAAGAACTTCAAGGAGCTCCCAATGTTACTAATGTAAATATCACTTCTCAATGGTCGTAGCTCCAAGGTTGTTATCATCGGTGTTGTTGTTCCTGTCTTAACAAGACAGATCTGCAAAGAGCTTAACCTGGACATGTGAATGATCTCCTCGTACATACCATCTCCGGTTTCATCCAAATTTACCGTTGTCCACTTATTAGGACCAAGAAACAGATCAAAGTTTGGGATAGTATTAAAACCATCATAATTTCCATAATAGAAGGAAGCTCTAATCAGATAATTTGTTCCTTGCGTGACCTTCAAGTTATAACAGTTTCGTTGTCCATCCGGAAAGTATCTCAGAGTTACAAACGACTTTTCGAAGTTTCGCTGAGAATCCTTATCGACTCGACCGTTCTTTCCACTCTCAACAAAACTAGAATCCGATGTGAATGTTAATCCGGTAGATGGATCGACGTATGGAGACCCATCAGGTAACAAACCACAATCCAAAGTGATGAATCCTAATAAAAAAACAGAGTAAACAAAGGAAGGAAAAGAAGAGTCTTACTCTGTAAATAAATATAATCGATATGAGAGTTTGAAAACATATAATACAAGATTTGCAAATTGAAATATTAATTATACCTTTTTGATCCTGCGCTTTAACAAAACGTAGAAGAGCAAATGCGATAACGAACACATATAAAACTCCATGAACATGCCTCTCCATTTTTCTCTAATTCTTCGAGGAGTTTATTATCAACATCTTACCAAGTTCTTGAAATATTAAGTTGTGTCCGCTACACAAGTAGACATTAAAGAAATGTGTCTTTTAGATTATATTAAAATTAAACTGATAAATGGTCAACCGCTAAATTAAAATATTAGGTTAAGGGTATTAAAATTATTCTGTCGTGTTCACACCATCAAGTTAAGTCTGTAGAAGATCCATAAGATCAACAATATTATTGTGAATTTTATTAGAGATTTGTATATATCTTATTGTGATTACGTTAGTTAGGAAACTAGGTTTAATGGTATTCCTATATATATGCTTGTATATTGTAACTCAATCTTTATGAGAGCAATACATAATTCTTCCCATCCAATCTCTCATCAATCTCTAATAAAGTCAAACTCCATCTCTTCATTTATCTTTGATCCTTCTAATTTTTCAACTGTGTTATAATTTACAAAGATAACATGTAAAGGATAAGGTGAAGTTAATATGCAAGTGGCATTAATTAAGTGTTAAAGTATATGAAGAACATGTCATACGATTGTTTATGAGACGTGCATCCAAATATCATAACAAAACACCTTCGATTATACTTTTTTCTTTTCTTTTCGGTTTCAACTTTTAAATTTGAATTTCCCGAATTGGGATGACTTGTTTAGCAAACAAAACTCGAAAAAGTGTATTTGATTTGAGACAAAAATGTAATGTTTGATGATTTCCTCTGTTTAATAACTTATTTTTAATCACTTCATTATATTTTCTTTCTTTTTTTCATCTAGAGAAAATTCATCAAATTTTTGGATTTAGTCCCAAACACAACGAAATGCAACAAAAAAAAGTTATTTACGTAGTCTAGCGAGCCATAGGGTTCACTTCTGTACCAACGGTCATGGTTACTTCTATGGAAGTCTCCGAGTCCATAGCTTGGCTCGCTCCTCCCCTCGAGTTTTCAGATGTTAAGCACTCATTTAGTTTAAGAACAACTTGAGACATGGTCGGTCTTCCAACTGAAGAAGGATGAAGACAAGACATTGCTAGCTCAACAGCTTTCCAAACAGTCAAATTACTTGCCGGCAGAAAAATGCTGTCAAGACCAAACTGGATATCGAGAACCCGACCAAAATGCCATCTTTACCATTATGTAGGCATAACTAAGTCTTACTTCAATGAGACAATATCGAAATCCTACATGGAACCATGTCAGGAATATAATTCCTAATGGAAGGATCATCAATATTCAAATACAACATAATTTTCTTTTTCCAAGAAAAGACTAAGGATCATATTTGAAACATTAATCAATTAAAGAATAATGATTTTCGTGATGCTGGCAGAGAGCAAGATGGGAGAAATTTAATCTTAATAGATGACAAAAATAGTAGTGGTGCTCGAAGATTCTCCCATGTATTTAAGAGAAGACCATTGAATCATTGAGTTAATCAACTCCTACCATTTCGTCCACTAAAAGCCCTCACGTTAGTAAACGCCTACACGTGTTAATTTATTTGAAGACATGAAGTAAACCCAAAACAAGTGTGATTAAAACGATACCAAATCAAACAAATATGCACATAAGTGAACTGTGAACCCAATGTAAAAGAAACAGGACAATAAGATTTTGTATGATCATGCTAATTTTTTTTTTAAAACCAAAGATGTAAAGTTCATTTGAGAGGTTTCAAATCATTCTTTTTTTTTTTAAAACTGAATATTTTCATTTGCGTTTACTAACATGAGAAAGAAAATTTCAAACAAAATATTGACATTTTTGAAATACGAATAATTTTAAGCTTTCAAAAAAAACTCTTTTCTTCCTTTGCAAAATGCTAATGCAAACGTCAAATATGCAAACTTTAAGGTTTTTTTTTTTAATAACAAGAGGGTGATTAGATTTTTCACCCGACTAATTATCCATGATGAATGTAGTCGTCGAATAGCCCACTTATCATATTTTGTAATGGGCTTTTAAAGCGTGATACTATTTCGACTAGACACATATATTTGTTGGCAATGTACTTTAATTGAACTCTAATCTAAAAGAAGACGTAAACACTTGGGGTTTTCTCTGCATTTTAAAAACTTTCGTCATCTTTGTGGTCTTTCTGTAACTTTTTATTTATATTTCCTCACAAAACTTAAAAAAAAGTTTGAGGTTTTCTACACATTTTTCCAAAATAGAAAATTAAGAAAAGCATAAAAACCTAAAAGTGCCTCTTACAGGTTTGGTATAGAAACTATTCTGCCGTTTTGGAGCCATTAAGTTAGTCAACTCCATGTTCCTCATGTAACGTTGACCTTTGTAGTTTTTACTTTTTATATGTGTTACAATGTCTTAAGGAGCATGTACGATTGAAAAAAGAGACATTTTTCGGTTGCGCCGGAGTTGTGTTTTTGTTAGTTTGTGTTTCATATGGTTATGTTAGTTGCAAATCAAAGATCCTATGTGATTTTTGCCTATTTTTCTTTTCTACGGTGGGTATTCTTCTGTTGGCGAAAAGATGGATGACCTAGATCCGGAAAGGTGATGATTCTAGTATTCGTTTTCTCAATTTTGGGAGATTTTTTTTGCAGTATATCTAGTTGTTTTGGAAAACTTTAAAAGTATAAAGACAGACGGAACTCTTGCGGGTGTTGATCAAATAAATAAAATTCTTCACGATGGTATTATATCTTCAAACGGCTATTCACGCAATGAAGACGATAAAGCATATTTGATGCTCTATTATCTTCCAAATTCTATTGAATT